AGGTTATTTTTGGCATTTAACGTGGAAAGATTTTTTTGAAAGGAAAGGTGCCACGTCATAATTCACATGGAAATGAATTATGGTGGACTTTTTTTTTTTTTAAAATACAATTATTTTTAGTAATAGATTAATAGTGCAAAGCATATTAGCACATGGAAATGGTGATTAACCAATTTGATCAGTAGATCCATGAATTTAATCTGCTTTTGTTAAATTTATTCTATGTTAATACTAAAAAGTAATTATTTTGTTTGTCTGACTTTATATGACTATTATTATTAATTTATTATTACTTACCAAAAAAATGACTATTATTATTTAGAAATTCACAATTTTTTCTTTGACTACAAATTTTAATGTATTTGTTTAAATATTTTTAATTAAATATAATTTTATTTAATATTTAATTATTTAATTTGTATTTAAAAGATTAAGAAATTGATTAGCTAATCCCATTTTCCTTGAAAAGGTTGTTACAAGATTCAAGATCTTGTAAGTGAAGTTTGAGAGGGACAGAGTCCAAACAAAGTCCCATTATTTTTCCCTAAACTGATTAAACAGCGAGGTATAATGTAGTAATATAATTATTCTTTTGGCTGATCAATTTCGGTGGTCCAATTGAGCATTATTCAATCACAGCTAGGCTATCGTCATTAATAAAAATAAAAAAAAATACAGCTAGGCTGCTGACATTGTGTCTACGATTTTTATGCGTTTTTTAACTTCTCAGTCTCGAGTTTTTAGTTACTAATGGCAGGGCAGCCCGGTAAACTAAATTCTTCCTATGCGCGGGGTTCAATAAAGACACAGTGTACTAAGCTCTCGCTAGTTATTAGTGCAAAATTACCATTTATAGTACTTTATGTAATTCTTAATAGGTAAATTGCATCTAACAAGTTATAAAATAAATACCTCTGTACAATTTATATGAGGAGCAAATATGAGTTCGTCCCTTGTCGATAAGGGCATATTTGGGTCCAAATTTATAGCCCGTTTGGCCAAACTTCTAAAATCAGCTTATTTTGAGAAGTGCTTTTCTCAAAAGTACTTTTAAAAAAATTGCTTTTGGTGAGAAATAGTTTGTGTTTGGCTAATTAATTAGAAAAGCACTTTTGAGCAGTAATTAGTGTTTGGCCAAGCTTTTGAAAACTGCTTCTAAGTGTATTTTTCTCAAAAGTGCTTCTCAGAAAAGTGCTTTTGGAGAGAAGCTACTTTTTTCTGCTTCTCCAAAACTACTTCTGTTTCTCCTCAATAGCACTTTTTTTCCTTCCAAAAGCTTGGCCAAACACCACAATTTTTTGCCAAAAGTGCTTTTGGCAAAAAAAAAGCACTTTTGGCCCAAAAAAAAGCTTGGCCAAACAGGCTATTAGACGGATGATAAATTTGTTCTATTTCCTATAATTGAGAGGAAAATCTGAACCAATCTACTATTGATAAAGGTATGTTGTTGGGTGTGTGTGGACAAACTCCCACATGAAAAGTAGAAAAGAAAAATAAGCTACTTATAAGGAGTTGAATACTCTTAATGGTGTGAGGCCTTCAGGGAAAAATCGTTCGGGCTTGGCCCAAAGCGACAATATCACACCATGTTAAGAGTATCTTGGGGCTGTTTTAGCCCAACAACTAGTATTAGAGCCAATGATTTTGCGGGACTATGAAGATGGCGGAGTATGGCGTGGTGGTCAGGCTTAGCGCATTTACTCGTCTACGGGGTTTACGCTCTTACTGGTAGCTTTGAAGACGCATACACACCCTTTGGCCTTCGTAAACACACCATTTGGGCTTCGGTGACTGTAAATACTCAAGATCATGTGGGTGACACATAGTTAATGTCCAAATTAGCCCGTAAATGATTATAGTTCATGTGAAAATTAGTTCAAGGAGGAGATTGCTCTCGGTAGTTACTAGTGCAAAATTTCCATTTATAGTATTTTATGCATTTCATAATAGGTAAATTGCATCTAACAAGTTTTAAAATAAATACCTCTATACAATTTATGTGGGATCAAATATGAGTTAGTCCCCTATCGATAAGGGCATATTTGGGTCCAAATTTAGACGGAAAATAAATTTGTTCTATTTCCTATAATTGAGAGGCAAATTTGAACCAATCTACTTGGGTGTGTGTGAGCAAAGTCCCACATGAAAAGTAAAAAAAAAAAATAAGCTACTTATAAGGAGTTGAATACTCTTAATGGTGTGAGGCCTTTAGGGAAAAATCGTGCGGGCTTCAGCCAAAGCGGACAATATCACACCATGTTAAGAGTATCTTGGGGTCGTTTTAGCCCAACAACTGGTATCAGAGCCAATGCTTTTGCAGGACTATGGAGATGGCGGAGTATGGCATGGGGGTCACGCTTAGTGCCTTTGCCCGTCTACGGGGTTTACGCCCTTACCGGTAGCTTTGAAGACGCATACACACCCTTTGGGCTACGGTGACTGTAAATACTCAAGATCATGTGGGTGACACACAGTTAATCTCCAAATTAGCCCGTAAATGGTTATGGTTCATGTGGAACTTAGTTCAAGGGGGAGATTGCTCCCGCTAGTTACTAGTGCAAAATTGTCATTTATTGTATTTTATGTAATTCTTAATAGGTAAATTGCATCTAACAAGTTTTAAAATAAATACCTCTATACAATTTATGTGAGGAGCAAATATGAGTTAGTCCTCTATCGATAACGGTATATTTGGGTCCAAATTTAGACGGATGATGAATTTGTTCTATTTCCTATAATTGAGAGGCAAATCTGAACCAATCTACTATTGATAAGGGTATGTTGTTGGGTGTGTGTGAATATTGTTGGGTGTGTGAACAAAGTCCCACATGGAAAGTAGAAAAGAAAAATAAGCTACTTATAAGAAGTTGAATACTCTTAATGGTGCGAGGCCTTTAGAGAAAAATCGTGCGGGCTTGGCCCAAAACAGACAATATAACGCCATGTTAAGAGTATCTTGGGGCCGTTTTAGCCCAACAACTGGTATCAGAAACAATGGTTTTGCAGGACTATGGATATGGCGGAGTATGGCGTGGGGGTCAGGCTTAGTGCCTTTGCCTGTCTACGGGGTTTACGACCCTTACCAGTAGCTCTGAAGACGCATACACACCCTTTGGGCTTCGCATACACACCCTTTGGGCTTCGGTGACTATAAATACTCAAGATCATGTGGCTGACACACAGTTAATCTCCAAATTAGCCCGTAAATGGTCATGGTTCATATGGAACTTAGTTAAAGGGGGAGATTGTTAGGTGTATGTGAACAAAGTCCCACATGGAAATGATAAAAGAAAAATAAGCTACTTATAAGGAGTTGGATATTCTTAATGGTGTGAGGACTTTTGGGGAAAATCGTGAGGGCTTGGCCCAAAGCGGTCAATATCACACCATGTTAAGAGTATATTTAGGCCGTTTTAGCCCAACAACTAGGATTAGAGCCAATAGGTTGGCGGGACATTGGATATGGCAGAGTGAAATAACATGGGCTAGCCAGTTTTCGGGCCGGTAATTGAAAAATAGCCAGCAAAGTTATTGAACAATAGCCACTATTTTGCTGCAACGTGAAAAACTCTAGCATAATATACTGGAGATTGAAGCACATGGATATGAACTTCCAGCATATTATGATGGAACTCCAGCACACGGAAAGTTCCAATATAATATACTGGAGATTGGAGCACTTGTGTATGAACTTCCAGCATATTATGCTGGAACTCCAGTATATTATGTTGGAAGTTCACATGTAAAAAATTCGAACTCCAGTATATTATGCTGTAATATTTTTCAGATTTTGAATAGTGTTTTCATTCAGATTTATCTTTACATGAAAAGTGACTAAATTTTGATTACTTTTGAAACTGTGGCTATTTTTCAATTGTCACTTGTAAATCTGACTATTTTTGAATTTCACCCTATGGCGGAGTGTGGCGTGGGGGCCCGACTTAGTACCTTTGCCCGTCTATGGGGTTTATGACATTTACCCGTAGCTTTGAAGACGCATAACAGCCTTTGGGCTTCGGTGACCGCAAATACTCAAGATCATGTGGGTGACACACAATTAATCTCCAAGTTAGCCCATAAATGGTGATGGCTCATGTGGAACTTAGTTCAAGGAGGAGGAAAATAGAAAGAAAAATAAGCTACTTATAAGGAATTGGATACTCTTAATGGTGTGAGGCATTTTGGAAAACCATGCGGGCTTGCCCAAAACGGACAATATCACACCATGTTAAGAGTATCTTTGGATCGTTTTAGCCCAACATATGTTTGGGATCAAACTTAAAATGTCACGACCCATTATCTACAATAGGTCATGATGGCGCCCGACACCATTGTCAGGCCAGCCAACGCGGAAAATACAATTAAGTTCTCATTTTACTTTTACCCAAAAATAAATATAACAGATTCTCAAATTAAAGTTGAGACCAGAAGCGATCAATAATGTATCAAAATGATTATTAAAGTCATAAAATTATACAATCCCAAAAAAATTGATACCGTCTACTAATGTGTGTGCCAAGACCCGATGTCACAAGTAATGGGCGACTAGTAGAATGTACAAAATAATAAACTATCCTACTGTCCGAGATAGAATAGACAGCAAAAGTAGGAAAAAGACTCCATCAAGCTGCCGAACGCCATAGGAAAGGAGCAGCTCACCATGGAAGTCTCGGACTATGAATCAGGGGCGCGCACCAAACTGATAGTCAGATGTACCTGCCTCAGACCCTGTACAATTAAGTACAGAAGCGTAGTATGAGTACATAAACAAAATGTACCCAGTAAGTATCCCGTCTAATCTCAAAGAAGTAGAGACGAGAGGTCGACTTGACACTTACTAGGGTCAAATAATATAATAAGCTGTTCTGCTAGGCATGATAATCACAAATAATCAACAGTATGCAACAAGAGATAATA